CCTTCAAAAGAGCTAGACACGAATCTCCAGCCGATCTCCCTGCACCAAGTCCCAAGCGTCTGCTCCGGGAAGTCACTGCCAAATGGCTGCTGTCAGCCAGGTTCCCGGTGTTTCTAAGAGGGGGGGGAAGCCACGTGGTACTAAGAATGTGCAAGTCAGAGCAATAGCTCATAAAGCATTTGAATAGCCCATTCATTTCTAATTCTGCTGTAATTTCTGTGATAACTTTAAAGACGATGAACTCATCTGACATAGAGGATGCCGGGGACTTTTCCAGGAGCCCCACTGTAAGTCTGCATCCAGGAAGTGTGTTCAAATATACACCACTCCCCGCTACCTGCTTCTAACAGCAGAGTGAAGCCGTTCCATCTGCCCACTGGCGTGCTTGCCCATTTATTCAGCAACGATGACACAGTGCCAGTGTGATCCAGGCCCTGTGTGTGTGCCCCGATGACCTAGTTTAATAAAATCTGGCTTTGCATCAAACAGAGCCCAGGTTTGATTCCTAGCGAGAGAGGCAAGGTCACAGGTGTGTGGCCAACAGGACGAGGGAGCAACGTGTGGGAACTGCGCTGTCTTGTGCGCCATTTAAAGCGAACAACAAAGACACCCCTGTGGTTTCTATCATCTTGGCCAGCCGGCCCTGCGATATTTACTAACTCTGCCTCCCCCTGCCCCAGCAACCAATTCCCTAAAATTCTAGGCTCTGGATCTATGGACTTACACATTAAAGTATGTTTGGACTATTTTTCTCTTGTTTTCTGCCCATGGAAAAAGAGGATTGGGAAAAAGATTAACCTCACCCTCCCCAAAACATGGAGTCCGAGACCCTGGTAGTTCTAATCTACTCTTGAGATCATTTTAAAGCAGAAAATAAGACACATGCACAGCTGAGTCTCTTTGCATATTCAAAATCGGAGGGTATTTTCAGTCCTTTTTGACATTGCCATATTTCAGAGTCACAGGTTCTTCTTTGATGGAAAAAACAAACAAACATATAGTCATTTTTAAAAGTATCGAAGGTCTCTGAAAAACCAACTGTAATTGACAATTCCCTCACATCTCATCATGTGGTACATATTTATTTCTAGGATTCCTACGGTCTTGTTCAGCTAGTGACCTCTAATGATAGAATTATCTGCTCAAGCTAAAAACAGTTTTGTCTATGAAGCTATCAGGCTTCATATTATGGAGGTGAGATTGCCAGTCTGAAACTCATAAAATTCAAGAACAAAAAAACACTTTTAAAGGGTAGCCCGAGTCTATGTGTCCAAAGGGGCAGTAAAGCAACATGGTTAAGGGCATGGCTGACTGCAAGCTCCAGTTCTACCCTTCACCACTTAGGGGCTGGAAAATGAGGGAGGTGGCAGCACCCACCTCACAGGGTATAAGACAGCAGTTCTCAACCTGTGGGTCGCAACCCCTTTGGGGGTCGAACAACCCTTTAACAGGGGTCGCCTAAGACCATCGGAAAACACATATATAATTGCATATTGTTTTTGTGATTAATCACTATGCTTTAATTATGTTCAATTTGTAACAATGAGAATACATCTTGCATATCAGATATTTACATTATGATTCATAACAGTAGCAAAATTACAATTATGAAGTAGCAACAAAAATAATTTTATGGTTGGGGGTCACCACAACATGAGGAACTGTATTGG